TTGTAACATCATACCTGTCAGGTCTAGGGAAGTATAAAGGTCACCAAATCACCAAACAACTGTAACATCATACCTGTCAGGTCTGGGGAAATATAAAGGTCACCAAATCACCAAACAATTGTAACATCATACCTGTCAGGTCTGGGAGGATAGCCAGGTCACCAAAACATCATACACTTGTAACATCATACCTGTCAGGTCTAGGGAAGTATAAAGGTCACCAAATCACCAAACAACTGTAACATCATACCTGTCAGGTCTGGGGAAGTATAAAGGTCACCAAATCAACAAACAACTGTAACATCATACCTGTCATGTCTGGGGAAATATAAAGGTCACCAAAACACCAAACAACTGTAACATCAGACCTGTCATGTCTGGGGAAATATAAAGGTCACCAAAACACCATACAATTGTAACATCATACCTGTCAGGACTGGGGAAATATAAAGGTCACCAAAACACCATACAATTAGTATAAAGGTCACCAAATCACCAAACAACTGTAACATCGTACCTGTCAGGTCTGGGGAAGTATAGAGGTCACCAAAACATCATACACTTGTAACATCATACCTGTCAGGTCTGGGAAGATAGCCAAGTCACCAAAACACCATACAATTGTAACATCATACCTGTCAGGTCTGGGGAAGTATAAAGGTCACCAAATCAGCAAACATATGTAACATCATACCTGTCAGGTCTGGGGAAGTATAAAGGTCACCAAATCACCAAAAAACTGTAACATCATACTTGTCAGGTCTCGGAAGATAGCCAGATCACCAAAACGCCATACAATTGTAACATCATACCTGTCAGGTCTGGGAAGATAGCCAGTTCACCAAAACACCATACAATTGTAACATCATACATGTCAGGTCTGGGGAAGTATAAAGGTCACCAAAACTCCAAACAATTGTAGCATCATACCTGTCAGGTCTAGGAAAGTATAATGGTCACCAAAACACCATACAATTGTAACATCACACCTGTCAGGTCTGGGGAAGTATAAAGGTCACCAAAACACCAAACAATTGTAACATCATACCTGTCAGGTCTGGGGAAGTATGAAGGTCACCAAAACATCATACCTGTCAGGTCTAGTAAAGTATAATGGTCACCAAATCACCAAACAATTGTAACATCATACCTGTCAGGTCCGGGGAAGTATAAAGGTCACCAAAACACCAACCAATTGTAACATCATACCTGTCAGGTCCGGGGAAGTATAAAGGTCACCAAAACACCAACCAATTGTAACATCATACCTGTCAGGTCTGAGAAAGAATAAAGGTCACCAAATCACCAAACAACTGTAACATCATACCTGTCATGTCTGGGGAAATATAAAGGTCACCAAAACACCAAACAATTGTAACATCATACCTGTCCGGTCTGGGGAAGTATGAAGGTCACCAAAACATCGTACCTGTCAGGTCTAGTAAAGTATAATGGTCACCAAATCCCCAAACAATTGTAACATCATACCTGTCCGGTCTGGGGAAGTATGAAGGTCACCAAAACATCATACCTGTCAGGTCTAGTAAAGTGTAATGGTCACCAAATCACCAAACAATTGTAACATCATACCTGTCCGGTCTGGGGAAGTATGAAGGTCACCAAAACATCGTACCTGTCAGGTCTAGTAAAGTATAATGGTCACCAAAACACCAAACAATTGTAACATCATTCCTGTCAGGTCTGGGAAGATAGCCAGGTCACCCAAACACCATACAATTGTAACATCATACCTGTCAGGTCTGGGGAAGTATAAAGGTCACCAAAACTCCAAACAATTGTAACATTATACCTGTCAGGTCTGGGAAGATAGCCAGGTCACCAAAACACCATACAATTGTAACATCATACCTGTCAGGTCTAGAAAAGTATAAAGGTCACCAATACACAATAAAATTGTAACATCATACCCGTCAGGTCTGGAAAAATAGCCAGGTCACCAAAACACCATACAATTGTTACATCATACCTGTCTGGTCTGGGGAAGTATAAAGGTCACCAAAACGCCATACAATTGTAGCATCATACCTGTCAGGTCTGGGGAAGTATAAAGGTCACACAAACACAATAAAAAAATTGTAACATCATACCTGTCAGGTCTGGGAAGAAAGCCAGGTCACCAAAACACCAAACAATTGTAACATCATACCTGTCAGGTCTGGGGAAGTATAAAGGTCACAAAAAGGCCATACAATTGTAGCATCATACCTGTCAGGTCTGGGAAGATAGCCAGGTCACCAAAACACCACACAATTGTAACATCATACCTGTCAGGGCTGGGGAAGTATAAAGGTCACAAAAAGGCCATACAAAACACCAAACAACTGTAACATCATACCTGTCAGGTCTGGGGAAGTATAAAGGTCACCAAAACACCATACAATTGTAACATCATACCTGTCAGGTCTAGGAAAGTATAAATATTGTAAAAACGCCATACCACTGTAACATTATACCTGTCAGGTCTGGGAAGATAGCCAGGTCACCAAAACGCCATACAATTGTAACATCATACCTGTCAGGTCTAGGAAAGTATAAAGGTCACCAAAACTCCAAATAATTGTAATATCATACCTGTCAGGTCTGGGGAAGTATAAAGGTCACCAAAACATCATACCTGTCAGGTCTAGGAAAGTATAAACGTTACCAAAACACCATACAATTGTAACATCATACCAGTCAGGTCTAGGAAAGTATAAAGGTCACCAAAACTCCAAACAATTGTAACATCATACCAGTCAGGTCTAGGAAAGTATAAAGGTCACCCTGCTGAGAAATTGAACTAAAATAGATTTCTCACCCCTTGTCTCGAGTGAGAAAACGAACCAAACTAATGGGTATCAACTATATAATGCATCTGATTCAGTTTGTTTCATATTATGATATACTTAACATGTAGATATGTATTAAGTCCTACATGCTTCAATACTTATTGTAATAATATTCTGTACGTCACAGAATGTTGTCATTATCTCCAATAATCGATAATTACATGTCAAAGTGACATACACAAACGAAAATAAAAAATGCACGTGTAAATTTGACTATTATGGCTAGTTATATCTTTGGAACCCGACCAACAGTTTTCAAGTAGACTATAATTGTGGAAATGTTTACTGCTTCGAAAGTACATTTAATACTTGTATTATTTTACATCATTATATAAATTATCTGATGTTTCCTGGAGGTCATGCAATCTAATAACATGTGATTTACTGTAATTGTTGCGTGGCATGCTGAGCACTATGACTTCAAACAAATAGCAAAAAAAAAAGAATCGAATTGTAATAGAAGGACAACGTCCTTTCGGCGCCTTTCTCTACAGCTTTGACACAGTTTTACATTTAAAGGATCAATAGAATTTAATTTGTTGCCTACGCATAAATTCCAATTATTTTGCAAATATGACATTGAAAACTTGTCATAAGCGGTTATAATGTGTAAAATTAAGCTTAAAATCAACAGCCATTAAGCCGCTTTGGCAGCGCGGCCTATCTTTTCATTACCTGGTATTTTCACATGTCCCGGGACCCAGCCTACTATGTGATGTTATTTTGAGGTAATATTATATAATAATTCTGATAATTTGCTAATTGAAATAGTGTTTGCATTGCGTAGGCTTTGTCGACCAGATAGAACATAGTAATACACCCTACAGAAGCCGGTATCTACCGTAGCAGCACCTTTTGCAACTATGGCTTCGGTCCACTCTTATCGTATTTCGAACCATGAATATAAAAGTCATAACGCACACTCCGTGATGCAAATATATTTTGCATAGAGCATTGCCACTTCCTGGTTCCCGAGTATTAAATCAAACAGAATGTCACTTGTGCTGTCAATATAACGCATATTATTGATAGAAATGATTAACATTGGGTATATTAATTCAGGGTAATTCTCTTTACGCTGGAGATTGTAGTAGAGTTGTTTCTATCCTTAAATACTTGTTATCATGTTTTAAATAGCACTATTTATTTACATTCTGTTACCTGTGGTTTTGCTTATATCTTAAACTGATAACGGCAATTAATCAAACATCATTATTACTTATTAAAGTGTCACACCACTGGTTTACTAAAATAGAATATATGCCCTGGCTGTTAGGGGCTTGTTAGACACTATATAATCTGTGATAATATGAAAGAAACTAAAGCGCTATGCTTAAAGATATCAAGGTAAGTTATTGCGGGATTCTTGTGTGTCTTTATCTTAGCCGTTAAGTTGTAAGCTGGGGTTCGGAGAACATCACAATAAACGTGGTAAACTATAAATAACTAATGAGTGCCAGGTTTGTTTTGTTTAAGTGTATAGAAGACTAATATTTTAATTATTCCGTCATCAACATAACAACGCAACGCACTTTTAATTACGTCACTCTCCCTCGTTTATCTGTTCCACATGGGTAAACACTTTCCGCCATCATGTTTGGCTAGTAATAGTTATTATAGAATGGACAGGCCTAACAATAGAGACACTACTTATTACCCGTATGCGTCCAATCTTACCTGCGGAGAGGTCAATATGTCTGGGATATAATAGGAAAAGGTAAGTCATTGACTTATTATCGTTGTATTAGATCAATATCAATAGGTAATACAAATTTCAAACACTCACTTTTAATGTGATAGTATTCACATCGATGCTTTACCTTTTAAATGTACCGTCACACTATACAGGTTTGTAAGTATATAAACCTACCAGACGCCCTTCATATTGTACGGCTAACAGGAGCCAGGCACAGGTAACATATGACTAGTGTTAACTATCTGTCCAGAGGTGGTTTGTACAGTATAATATTATGACATGTACTATATTGCGAACCTTTCATTCTTTGTGTAATTCACGCTTCGCATATATGTACATGCTTATGTCAAATGACGTATGATCCTTGCATGATTATGCAACATTAATGAGTATGCACATTTCCTACAGATTCTCCTGAATAAAGATAACATTATGGGCCTACTCAGATTGTTTTCACGGCATATCGACATTTTTAAGCCATATGTTTTTTCAAGACTTCTAAACCTCAGAGCATTTCATTTTATATATTAATATCGTATTAATATAAGATTTAACAAAGTTGTTCGACACAAACTGAATGATAAATGCCTGCTCCAGTATTAAATAACATAAAAAAATGTGAAAACAACCTATACTTATATTACTTTGTGCGAGTTCTTAACTGAAAGGACATTAACACCAATCTGTTTTGAACAATGATGTAAATATATCATAGTCGCTGTTTTCTATCTACATCCCAAATGAAAGATGATTTAATTACCGTTCTAAATGTTAAGAATGTGTTTGGCTAAACTTTGATTTAATAACAAGGCTTGATGTGTTGGAACAGTCATTTATCGTCTTCGTTATCCGCACATTAGCATAAAACGTTCATGTCACATGTTTTTTTTGTGTTCAATATTAGTAAATGACATTTCTATTAACTTCGTTGTCATGACCTAACCACATTTTATCAATGTAATATTTCAACAATGTCTTACTTAATACCCCCCCCCCCCCCCCCCCCCACACACACACACACATATATAATAGAATACATTTATGTCAGAAGCATCCATAAAAGAATGAGGATATACAGTTTACAAACGTATATATATATATATATAATGACATTCTGCTGTATGGTGCAGTGTAATTAATATTTTGCATTCTGTATTTTTTTCCAAATTGTATAGGTGCAGTGACATATTTGTGTCACCATTCCAATATGATAACATAAAATAGGATGGACACTGATCAGACATCCTTTGACATTACCTAGGCAATGTGTATATGGTACTTACAACGACACGAGAATTTTTTTTAGAAGTTAAATGAAAAATTGAAAGCTATACGCTGTAGATTAATTTAAGGATATCTGTTAGGTTACACTGTATACATAGGTTACACTGTATACATAGGTTACACTGTATACATATGTTATACTGTATACCCCGGTTACATTGTATACATAGGTTACACTGTATACATAGGTTACATTGTATACATAGGTTACACTGTATACATAGGTTATACTGTATACATAGGTTACACTGTATACATAGGTTACACTATATACATAGGTTACACTGTATACATATGTTATACTGTATACATAGGTTACACTGTATACATAGGTTACACTGTATACATAGGTTACACTGTATACATATGTTATACTGTATACATAGGTTACACTGTATTCATAGGTTACACTGTATACATAGGTTACACTGTATACATAGGTTACTCTGTATACATATGTTACACTGTATACATAGGTTACACTGTATACATAGGTTACATTGTATACATAGGTTACATTGTATACATATACGTTGTGTGTTAGAGTTATCTCCTTTCAAAATGCGTTATCAAATATGTTAACCTTCGCTTTAAAAAAAATTAAAAAATGTCATGTTCATGGCATGAAATTAATTTGGAAAGAAGATGCATTTAACAGTAACGTAGCAGATATTCTTAGAATGTGTATTATTTTAAACAGTGTCTTATTGTTAATCAGTACGTTTTTCTTAAACTGTTCCATATTCAGTAACATTATTTCATTTAAAGCAGTGTCTTATTGTTTATCAGTATCTTTTTCTTTAACTGTTCAATATTCAGTAACGTTATTCTAAAACAGTGTCCTATTTTTAACAGTTCCTTATTCTTAAACAGTTTGTTCATTATCTTATTCAATAAGCAAATATTCATCAAATATATAATCAGTTTGTAATTATTATTGAATTTTTGTTTGTTTATAAATGAGTTATTAAATTGTATTTAAATCAAAGTATATTTTTGCAACGTCATTAAACATGTTTGTTTGAATAGCAAGGCTAACATTAAAGTATTACGTATAATACTACAAGTATAATTATCTAAGATTTGCACAATGCCTAATATCTACAATCAATGTTCTATATGATATTGTAGAACCTGAAAAAGACGATGGAGGAAGATCCTCCCTTCTCCTTCGCTTTAATCTGTTCCAGCTTTTATACATTACTGTGTTAACACAGCTAGTACAGTATTGTACCCAGTATTCAATTAGGAAAATGAAAATCATCTAAAGCTACAAACCTTGCAACCGATTCATAATAAAACAATTGACTGTTTTACGTAATAAGGTGGTTGAATCTGCTGGTGGACTTTCAGACCCGAGGTTGTTTTACGTAATAAGGTGTTGTAATCTGCTGGTGGACTTTCAGACCCGAGGTTGGCTGTTGCCTTGAAGTTGGAATCTATTCAGTCAAGGTTCCGATGAAATACTAGTTTAAGAGTAAACTATCTATTATATCTAAAAGTTTTAATTTAAAACATTAGCATGTGTTTCATATCAATTTTGATATTATGTATGATATATTTTCATTATTTTGAATTTTGGTACCAATTATGATACCTAAATGAACGAAATGACCAAATAATGCAGTAGAAATTGACTTTCTATGACATTTTGCTTCAATATACTTCTATTGTACAGTTTCCTTTTACATGTACGTATATCCAGCGATGTTTGTGAAGAACACCTCTCATACCAGTTTCAGCTAGAAGAATAAACTGTAAAATCGACTCTCGAGAATTGATAGGAACTAAATCCATAATAATGGGTTAGGTACCCTCACCCCAAATTGTGCAACTTTCTGATACACATGTAGACATGAACGAATCTAAGGTGATGGGGTGGCGCAGTTAGATAGTGCAGCTGCCTTTCATCAATACAGCCCAAGTTTGACTCCCCGATCTGTCGTGAAAAGGCATGTTGGTCACCTGCCAAACCACGTTGGTTTTCTCCGTGTACAACGGTTTCCTTCCACATTAAAGCTAACTACACGTTTCCATTTGGACCAACAAGAGTGATTAATATTAAGTTTGAAAAAAAATATTTGCAAGTGTTGTAAAATAGAAAAGTTTATAATTACACTTGTAATACAAAACAAATGTATACATTGAGAGTTAGCAAAAGCACTTCTCATACCAAATATATGTGTGAGGTAGCAGACAACTTATAAAATCACAAGCATCAAGTTCAAGATAGCCTAAACCTTAAACACACAGATCTGACTGAAGATGAGTTTTTTTTGCATTTATCGGAAGTGCCGATTCGTAACCTATGGTATTCTAAACAGTATAATTTGGTAATAACTGGGATGCATAAAATCATTTGTATATCAGAAGAAGGATGTAGGTCTTTTTCAAGAGAATGATTATAAAAAGAACCATGCAATCAAAATAATGTAGGTTGTTTTGGCGACGTGATACCAAAGAACATATGTACTAAATTCCGACCCGGAACTTCTGATCCCACCAAGGTCTCGTTACGAAGCTTTCTGTCGTGACTAGACAGGTATCTATTTTGTAGCATAGATAGGAGAAACTCACTATGACTCGAAGAGGAAAATCATATGACGAATTTAAAGTCTAACTAGCGACTGGCTTGGAGTGGTTATAAATGATGCAGTAGAAAAAAGCAGTTTGGAATTAATATGTGGCATCAATTTCAGGACAAGCTGTATTTTTTACTATATAATATCGTTAATTTTTTCTCTTAAATAATTGCAATTTTCAAGGTTCCCCATTGTTAATTGTGTAAAAACGTATATAAGTGGTTCTTTCTTTACCAACGAAAACCTTTAAGATACAAATTGGTTTTTTTGTTCTTATTTTTTCTTAAAACGATATTTATTTAACTTTTTGCAAATGCATCTGGAGAAAGCTAGTCTGACCTTAAGTTGAGGGGGCTATGTTGTGTAAAAGGGGTCTGGTGCCGATCTACTTTCGGTCCTCTGTACGCCGCCCTTATACTAACGTAACCTTCCGACCTCTCTTTATGCAACCGCCTAATTGGGTGATGTTTACCTACCTGAATCTGTCCTATAGATGGGGCAGTGGGATTAAAGAGGCTCTGTTTACAAATAATCTCTTATCTACATTAGGTAAATTTTATATAAGCCATTTATTTGATCTCATGTCGACAGGTAAAGTTCATCTTAATTAAAGAGCAAAACTTCAGATAGCCTTAGATAATTAACGGTGTATTTATATATACCATGTGAACAGGTCATCAAATACGAATATTGGTCATGTTAAAAGACAAGAATCTGTTTTGATACAAATAAGTACTAATTACATTAACTGTGTTCTATGTAAATATCTATTCGGCATCTTAGGCATTAAGAGTAAGGATGTGTATCAGAAGTTAAAACATTCTTGTGATGCCATCCATTGTTATAATTGTCCATTATATAGAATATGAGTACTGTTATATGCATAACTGTCCAATATGTTACAAAAACTGTCCAATAAGATCATAAAACTGTCCAATATTTTAATATTGTACAGTTTGTTAAAAATAACGGACATGTTTTACATAATAGACAGTTTTCGGCTTATATCCTTTACGTATAAATATATACAATGTCGAATCCCTGTTGTGTTTTTCAGCATTGATATTTTTGTGATTCTTTGCATTTTTTGTTTTGGTTGAAAAGGGACTGTTTTTGGTAAAAAAATGTTCATAGTTTTCGTAAATCGTAATATGT